GGGCCGGGGCCGGTCTCGGGCTGCGGTGTCCTGGTGCTGGGCTCAACAGGGGCTGGGCCACGGTGGGACTGGGCTGCACTGGGTCAGTTCCCCCCGCTCCTGGCAGTATCGGGCTCCTAGGGCAAGGCCCGGCTGCACAGACCCCCGGTGCACAAGGCTCTGAAGCTTCCTGCTCTCCTTTCCTCCTGCCTTTCCTGGGAGCAATGGTGGGGACAAGGGAGTAGCATTTCCCATGCGCTTTTTCTGTACAGTGGGAGATGTTGCCATGTTACTCCAGGAGCACTGGCCCCATGGGGGCTGAATGGTCTTGCTGGACCCTATGGAGGGGGGTCCAGCAGAGTGCACTGAGTCCAGCACAGGCCAGGCGAGCCAGGGAGCTGCAGCTCTGCTCCCGGCTCTTCAACTGCATCTGAAGCTGCTGCTGAACTCAGAGCACACCAAAGCAGTGTTTCCTTTTCCATGGGGTGCTCAGAGAGCAAGTGGGACAGGCAGCAGTGCCCCCACCATGTAGGTGCTCTGCAGCCAGGAGACAGCACTCATGGCTTGGAAGGGTAAGAGATGCTGGCCTGGAGTTAGAGTCCTCAGCATGGGACCAGTCATGCAGTGTGGACTGCTGGAAAGCAGCGCTTCTCTGAAGGCCCTGGCCTAGGCTTTGGTTCCCTGCAGCCGCTCATCACTTGCCCTCTGTGCCCAGATCTGCCGGAGGCCCAGTGCCCACAGCCTGGCACCCTCGCTGGGCCATGCACCTGGGAGGAGGGGGTGCCTCCTGAGCACCAACACCAGCACCCTTTCCACTCTTATCTCTGCAGGCAGCTCTGGCAGCCACATAGGTGTTTCCATTTGAATACAAGCCAGCTCCCTTTCATTTGCAACCCCGGCCCTTGCTTTTTAGTCCCATATGGAGGTAGACTATGGACGATGGAACTGGCTTAGGCTCTATAAGGGATCTCTAGTTTGTTATAGATGACATATAGGGTGTTTCCAGGAGTCACAGCCAAAACGTGAATCCCGCGGATCGTGATATCCTGGATCAGTTGACCTATAAGGGAGCATGTGAACCAAGACAGGCTGTTACAGAAAGACTGGGCAGAGGACTAACCACCAGTTAGTTTGTGGCACATGCCCATCTGCGGGGGTCCGGCAGGTTTACACCTTGCTTTGGAAACCCCATGGGAGAAGAGCCAATTGCTATCAATTCCCACTCCAAACAGCAGGACTGCGGGGTTATCAGGCAGTGGGAAAGGAAGGGGGTGTCTTGCCAAAGGCCTTCGTGCCAGCGGTGGGCCATCTGAGCTTGCCCAGCCCTGTGGTGTGTGCAGTGCTAAACGGTGCACATGCTGGCGAGAGGCTCCTGCAGCCCTCGGGGGCTGCTCTGCTGGCCCCCACGTCCTCCCAGCACTCCTCTTTCTTGGTAAGTTTTTTCTCTCCTTCCTGGAGCGACGTGGCCAGAGATGGTTTCCTTCTCGTGAGTCAGACCGAATAAGGCCTCGACTTCCTCCTGTGACAGCCACAGGGGAATGGGCTGGGGGGGGGGGGGTGGGGCGGGGGCGGTCCCCTC